TTTATATGGCAGCAAAAGTACCCAACCTATACCTCTTTCGGACGCACTTTTTTAGCACTACTGCGCGCCGGAGATAAGCAACATCATACTACGCGGCTAACATTGCTCAATATTTAATTCGTATTTATATATTAATAAAAATCGTTTATTAATTAAAAAAAAATTTAATTTAAATAAAAGTTTATTAAATATTATAAAAATATATTTTTAATTTATAACTTTATAATTAATTTAAATAATTACAAATAATTTATTATATAAATTTTTTTTTTATAAATATTCGAAATATATAACGTTTTATTATTTTAATTAATATTTAATTAAACGATTTTAAAATATTTAAAATAAATTAATATATAAAATAATTAAAAATTCGGTAATATATCCGGGTTAAATTTTTTATTTTTATTTACGTTATTATTAAAATAATAAATAATATTAAAAATTATATTTTTTTAATAATTATTTTTAACGTAATATTTCCGAGTTTTAATATTTTATATAACGTTTAAACGACCGGAAAAAACCTTAAATAAAAATTTAAATATTTAAAAAAAAATAACCGAAGTTTTTTAATTAATAAAAAATTAATATATAAATAACGAAAAATAATATAAAATAATTTTTTAAAAAGTTATATTATATAAATCGTAAATAATTATCGACTTAATATATTTTTTACGTCGCGAATTTTTAAAAATTATAAAAAAAAACCGAAATATTTATTTAATTAAAGGAAAAGGTTTATAAAAAAATAATATAAAAAATAAAACGCGCGAAAATATTTTTAAAAAAATTATTTATTACGAAAGTTATTTAAAAAGTTATATTTATACGTTATAACATTTAAATTTTAAAATAAAAAAAAACGATTTTTTAAAAAATTATTTTAAAAAAAAATTTTAAAAAAAAAATATTTTTATATAAAATTTTTTTTTTCTAATATAAAAAAAATAATATCTTTATAAATTATTAATTAAAATTTATAAAAATATAAATATTTTAATATAAAATTATTTTATATAATTCGTTTTATAAAAATATTTAAATAATTTTTTTAAAAATAATTTTAAAAAAATTATAAAATTAATAAAATTAATTTATATATTAATAATTAAAATAATATAAACACGGTAATATTTTAAATAATATATAAAAACATTTAACTTTTTTTCGAAAAGATTTATTAAATTTTTTTTTTTTTTTTTTTAATTTAATACGTAAAACTTACGAAATAATTTTAATTTATTAATTATATTTTACTTTTAATATTTATAATTATTTTATTTTTATTTTATAAATAATAATTATTAATTTAAAAAATTAATTTAATAATTTTTTAAAACTTAATAAATTAAATAATTAATTTTATAATTTTTTAATTATTTATAATTAAATTAATAATTTTATATAAAAAAATATAATTATAACGTTTTTATAATTTTTTTATTATAATTATTAATTATATTTATTAAACTTATAAAAATATTAAATAAATTCGCGAATATTAAAACATTTAATAATTTTTTATTTTTATTTTTTATTCCCGAATTATATAAATTATAAAATATATTAATAAAATTTTATTAAAATTATAATAATTTATATAATATTAACCGAAAAAAAATTAAAAATTTATTAATATATTTTAATAATACGTTTTAAATTAATATTATTAATAATAATAATTTTAATTTTAATTTTAAAAATTAATTTAAAAATAATTCCGACTTAATATTTAATATTTATTTAAAAAATAAAAACACGTTTATTAATAATTTTAAATTATTTTTTATTATAACGTAAATTTAATTAATAAATAATAAAAATATTAATTTTAAAATATTTATTTAAATTTAAAACGAATTTAAATTAATATAAAAATTTATAATTAAATATATAAAAAGTTTTTCCGACGTTAATATTTATAATTTAAGTTTATATTCGGGCGCCGGGTTTCCGGTTTAATATAAAAAATTAAATAATTTAAGTTTTATTAATTTTTAACGCATTTTTAAAAATTAAAATAACGAAAAAATAATATTTAATAAAGCATTTTAAAATTCGTAAATAATAATTTATTTATTTTTAATTTATTTTAACATTAATATTATAATTATCGCTTTAAATATTTTAAGTTATTTTAATAAATTAATTTTTTAAAAAAAAAATTTAAAAAAATATAAATTAAAATTCGAAAAAAATAACATTAATAATATTAATAATTAAATTTTTTTTTATAATTATATAATCCGAAAATAAATTTATTAATAAAAATATTAAATAAATTAAAAAGTTTAAATTATTAATAAAATTATTATAAAATTATAAAATGATATTTAATTTATTAAAGTAAAAATATTAAATTAAAATTAAATAATTAAATAATTTAAAATGGAAATATTTAATTAAAATAATTTTTTAAAATTAATAAAAAAATATTATTTAATATATTTTAATTATTATAATATTTAATTAATAATATAATAATTAAATAAAATTATTTTAATTATTATTTAAAAAATATTAAAAAGAATTTTTAAAATTTTTTTAAATAATATAAATAAAAAAAAATAAAATTAACGGCATAAAAATTTAATTATATATTTTATATATAATAAAAAATAAATTAAATTAATAAATTAATTTAAATTCGGCATTTTTTTTATAAATATATAATAAGTTTTATATTTTTTTAAATAATATATTATTAAACTTTTTATAAAAAACTTATTAAAGTAAATAATTTTTTATTAATAAAATTAATTAAATATTTATAAAAAACCGTATAAAAATATTAATTTTATAACTGTTAAAAAATTAAATAAATGTTTTTTTAAAAAATAATTAAATAAGTTTAAATATTTTTAAATTTATTATTATTTTTAAATATTTTTAAAATGATTTTAAAAAAAATTAATATTTTATAAATATTAATAATAAAATTATTTTTTATAAATGAATTTTAAATTTAAAATATATTATTATTTAAATTTAAAATTTTTATGTTTAATAATTTAAATAAAGTAAATTAATTTTATATTAAAATAATTTTTTTTATATATATTTAACCGATAAATTTTATACGTTTATATCGAGTTTTTTTTTTTTTATTTATTAAAATATTAAAAAATAAAAAATAAAAATTATATTTAAATTTTTTAAAATAATTATTTATTAAATTAAAAAATAAAATAACGTTAAAAATTATTTTTTAATTTATTTTTTTCCGTTTTTTTAAAATAATAATTATTTTACGTTTTTTAAAATAAATTAAATAAATAAATTTATTTATTATTATAATTTATAAGATTTTTATAACGTTAATTTTAATATAATTTTAATATTAATTATTTAATAAATAATATATAAAAATTAATTTTTTTTATTATAATTTATTAAAAAAATATATATATTAATTTTTTAAAATAATAATTTATTAATAATTTAAATAAAAAGTTTTTTATTAATTTAATAATATTAATTATAAATTTTTAATTATAATAATAATATAATATTATATATTAAACCGGATTATTATTTATAATAAATTAAATAAAATAAAAGTTACGTAATTATAAATAAATAATTTAAATTTTATTAAAAAAACTTAAAATTATAATATTATAAACCCGGTATAACTTTTAAAAATAAAACGAAAACGCGTTAAAAATAATAAAATTTTAAAAAAACGAACGAAATTAAAAATTTTAATTAAAAATTAAATATTATATATAATTATTTATATATTTAAACTTTTAAAAATATAAAATTAATAATTATAAAATATTATTATATTAAATATTATTTAAAAAAATTTATATTAAAATATTTAACGTTAATAAATATTTATAAGCCCGGAATTTTTATATTTATTTAAAAAAAACGTTATATTTTAAAATTATAATTTATTATATATTTATTAAAAATAAATTTAAAATTAATATAAAATAATTAATTAATTTTAAAAAAATTAATTTTATAATATAATTTAAATATTATAATTAATTTTATATTTAATTTATATTAATTTATATTTATATTAATTTAAAATTTAAAATATATTATTTAAAAATATTATTATTTTAAAATATATTTTATATTAATTAATATATATAATAATTTATTTTTATATTAATTTAAAATATAAATTATATTAAATTTAAAAATATATTATTTTAAAATTAAATTTATATTAATTAATATTTATATTAATATATTTTTATATTAATTTAAAACTTTAATTATATTAATTTAAAAATATATTAATTTAATAATTATTTAAATATTATAATTTATTTTTAATATTAATTAATATTTATATTTATTTATTTTTATATTAATATATATTTATATTAATAATATTATTTTTATATTAAAATTATTATTAAATAATTTACATATTATATATTATAAATTATTTTTTTTAAATATATTAAAAATTTTTATAATATATTTAATATTATTTAAATTAAATTTTTAAATAAATTAAATTTAATATTAAAATAATTTTAATTAAACGTAATAATAAAATTTATAATTTTATTATATATATATAATTAATAAAAAAATAATAAAAAATATATTTAAAATTAAAATTAAATTAATTTATATAAAATTATATTATATATTTAAATATTTATTTTATTTTAATATAATTTAATTTATTAAATTTTTATTTAATAAAACTTAAATTAAATTTAATTAAATTCGGTTTTAAAATAATAAAATTTAAATATATATTAAATATTTAATTTTAAACGTAAAATTTATTTTAAAAATTATATATAAAACATTTATTTTTAATTATTTTAATTTTAAAATTTTTAATGTTTTTTAATATTATATTAATTTACGTACGTTTTTAATATTTTTTATTTATATTATTATATATATAAATTAAATACGGTAATTAATATTTAAAATAAAATTTTATAAATTTATTTTTTTTTATTTAAATTTAATAATATAAACCTCGGTATTTATTATATAATAATATATATTTAATTAATAAAAACATTTATATTCTTAAATACGTTTAATATAATATTTATATAAATATATAAGCTTTATTTAATTATTATATACATTGTCGATACTACGTATTATTTACCTTTGCCCATTCATTTCCATAACCTTACGGAACAATACAATAAGCAATTGTATTTTGCTGTTTAAAGAGGCTTAGTGAACTCACTTTGTTTGTGTTAGTATGGTGATGTCTTGTATTAACTTACATTGGCGTTTAGAAGCGAGTTGACCAGCCTTCGTGCCCGGCGAAGCGTCACTGACTTTCTGCTATGGCCTCAAGCTTCCCCACCATCCTAACATATACCATCGGCGTTTCACAGTAGCTCTTAGATACCCTGATGCTCTGATACCCTCACTTAAGATCAAAGGGTAGTTATTTCCAGGAAGAAAGGCACAAGAAAACTGCGTACCGAGAAAGGGATGTATGTACGATCGTGCTAGGTGGTGTGGCTAGTATCGATAACGGGTAGAGTAGTCCTTTGGGCTAACGACCAGACCGCGACCCTTCTTGGCACCCTTATAAACCGTCTCGATGATGTCGATTAGCTCCTGCTTGTCCTCAAGCACGAAGTTGAGCTTGTTATTGTTTCCCGTGCCTAAATCGCATAGCATGTGCTTGTTCCGGTAGAAAAACATGATGGTGCAAGGATCATACAACTCTGCGCAAGGATATCTCGTTAGCATCCAATTATGAGCAGAAGAAGAAAGAATGATTGGAATAGCCTGCTACCTACCGTACATCTGGTTGAAGTCGGGAACCTGATCGATGTCGCAGACATAGATGACGCAGAAGTTTTTTACTTTGTCGGCGATGCGGTATAGAACTTCATCTTGTCGCATGCACTCGGGATCATGGTCACGACCGAACCGAATGGCTACATTGAAGAAAAAGGCATGTTAGCGTCTTGCTTGGTAAAATAATTGTACGTCTAAGGACATGCTGCACTCACCGACAACACGCTCCGTTTCCGATAGAATGGCTTGGTCGACATGCCAGCCGGTGTTCAGATGTGGTAGAACGATAGATCCCATGGTTAAGGCAGCCCTAATGCAAGGGTAGAGGAGTCAAATTACCGACGAGGATTGTGGACTCGACCGACGATATATGTATTCAGGTAGGTAGTGGATATGTCTACCTTTAGAATTTGTTTCAACGTCGACGCAGTGTTGATATTATGTTGATATTAAGAAGAGGAATGACATCAATTGGTTCGAGTACGAACTATTATGTAGGTACGTACTTACATAGGCGGGTACGGTAGGTGGGACTTTCTAGACATATCTATGTCCTTACCCACCATATGCATGTTGCGGATAAGATATTCGATACATGAATACTCGTCCAGCTCATTACAGGGATTTTGTTTCCTGTTTCTTTTTTTTAATAATCTACTATCAATTCATCGACTAGTACGTACAAAGGCTGTATGGCATATGTCTAAGCGAAGACATTGCATCCTCGTTATCTAGCACGAATCATAGCATTTCCCTCTTTAATAAAACAGCTTCCCACCCGCCAATGCGACGAGCTCAGGGAACACCGGCGTACCGAGCCCGGTAACGGGGTCCCATCCCTCAGTAGCCGGGAAGCCGTCTACACCACACCCGACAGCACTGCCCTGTGTGATGTCGGTCAGGCCCTTGTACCCTTTCGAGTACAACCACGGGTTCAAAAACCCCAGTGCTGGTTTGCCGGATGAAATGAGCGCGTCGTTTACCAGCGAGATGATTCCGCCCGTCAGAGGGCAACTGGCACTCGTTCCGCTGATGGTGCCCTCCGTACCATTCCAGAAATAAGCAAAGTAGAGTCCCTGAGCCGAGATGTCTGGGTACCCGCGGCCCGTCTTGTTATATAGGCCGTCGTAAAGGCCACCTAGGTTCTTAACGTAGCTGCTCGCATGCTTTGCCTGGTACGCCGGCGTCGTGAAGTAATTGCTAAACCCGCCGCCGCTCGTGTAGTTACCGTGTGCGACGCCATCAGGTCCAACGAACGCGGGCCGGTACGCCACCACCTCAGGTTCGAAGTTCTTCGTAGCGCCAACTGCCGTCACGTAGGGGCAGCTAGGCGGAAATTCGGGGAGGAATCGAGTTGTGTTCTTTCCATCGTTGCTAATGCATTCCCCGTACGGCCCAACACCGCTATCACCGCTTGAGAACAGTAGCGAGGTACCACGGGCACCCACTTGGGCGAATTGCTGGCAGACCCGGCGGGCATACGACTCCGGGACCGTCTGCTCATCGTCGGCATACGACGTCGCTGTAGTAAGCCAGTTAGTGACTGATCTGAGACCAAAATTCCACCGGAACGGGGACGGGCCATTTTCGCATGCCGGCGAGAGCGAAAAAAAATATAGGGGTGGAATATCACATACTATGATCAGGTTAGCCTCCGTTAAGAATATGATAGCGCTGAGTCAAGAAAAGACAATATGGGAAATTCGTGCGAGACGTTCTAGACATACCTAATTACCTGCGGGAAAGACTCGAGGCCAAGAAGATAATTTACCCACACCAGGTACGGTTCGTTGGTATTATCGGGCGTGCTCACAGACGGGATGAAAGGTGGGCTTCCGCCAGTCGAGTAACTGATGATTGGAGCTATGCGCGTATATGTTAGTTAGGAGCAAATTGCACGCACCCTTGGCTGGGCTTGGGGAGGTTTAGGATCGAAACGAAGTGGCCCAAGCCGAAATTCGTAGCTGAACTTGAAACTCTTCAACGCAAGGTGCGGGAGGCTTATAGATACGTACTCTTCCAGCTGATGCCGGCAATAGCCTGGACGTCTAGGTTCGCTTCCTTCGATACTCCCGCCTCGATTTCTTCAGGCGTCAGAGCATAGTCACCAGGTCCATTTGCGATGGAGATCTGGGGGAAGTCCTTCGCGCTCGAGACCGCCTCGGGTCGGTACTTGGCAAGGAACAATTCGGCGTCTGACCGAATTGGATGCTCGCCAAGATAATTGTTAAAGCCGATCTTATTCTTACCACAGGCGTGGGTCTTGTAACCCTTGGTCGAGTAGAGGGTCTGGAAGCATTCGGGCGTGACGGAGCTAACATTGCAGACTGCGTTCAGGGTCTCGTTGGAAGGGGGCGTGTACTTGGGATCAATATACACAGGGGCTTCGATATGGTCGAACTTCTCAGCACGGGCACGGAAGAACGAATTGGTAGGCTGGATCGTGTCGATCCGATCGTGGAGATGAAGGGGAAGAGACCACTTAGGGGCCCGGGCGACAAGCCCGCCGTCCTTGTGCTCATAAATATGATACTCCGTGTCTAGAAGTCGTTCAACCGTTCCCACCGGAAGGGACACCATGATCCAATCTTTAGCTGAGCTATATCCTGAAGGGGTGATGTCATTGGCTTGCAGCCACTCGTGGACGAGATCCAATGTCTCGTCCGTCGGCTTGACCAACTCCTTAACATCACCAGCACTAAGATGCTGGCCGTAGCGAGGGTGATCCGGATCCGAAACTAGAGTTCTATCAGATTCTGGCTCTCATTTCAAAAATACAGTAAGGGATGCATATGTTGTCGCTTCTTCTCATACCTTCGTATAGATGCCTTTCCAATTCCGCGAAATTGCTCTGCTTAACACCGATCTGGAGGTCGATAATATGATCGGCAGGCGCGCGACGAACTCGCCTCCAAGCCCTAGGAACGTGGTGCGAATCCTTGACACGGTACGGCGTACGTGACCCCACGGGGTTCGCAAGCACGCCCTGAACGGCGAGAAGCGCCGAGAAGGCGATGGCAAAGCCAACCATGGTTGCAATCGCTTCGGCCTAGGCGCAATTCTATCTAGCTAGAATCCAAAGGGGCGAGCAAAGCACGCAAGAAGGGCCGGGACAGCTATGACCAAATCCTGGAGGGAAATTCTTCAGAACGGTGCTCGCAACATCTTATATTAACGCACGGCAGCACGCAGAGCACGCTATCTTCGTACCTACATGACTACCTTGTTCTGTAAACTGACCGGGAGCAAGGATCAACAGCCCGACAGGTCGAAATCATGGCCCACCCGCATTTCCATATCCAATTGGAGTTCTCGGTCACAACAGGTCGGAAATTACATTAATCGCGTACCTACATATGGTAACATGTAAGGTAGTATAAATGTCAGCTATCGTCTGTTCTCTCCATAGGCACGCAATCTTTGGCTTAGACGTTTCCGGAAGGTCGCTTGCTATCTACACCCAAGCACGCGGGTCTAGATCGTGCCTTGGTTTTTCCATATACGATCCTACCGATCAATACTTCGTTTTGATAACGCATTAACGCGAATCAACGGAAAATCCGGTTGTTTCCACGAGAAGTGTCTTACCTCATCTTCTTAATCGGTGCACCAGACCGAGCTCAGCGAGATATATCTATTTATTGGATAGGTATCCGAGATCCGTGTCGTAGACTCGTAGTAGCATCTGCATAAGGTCTAACTTGCTTCGAATTTGTTGGATAGCGGGCGACCCGGGAATCCGGTTGGAGCGGCAAGAGGATTACGACTGTCGCGCAGGCTGGCAAGCTAGAGCTCGAGGAACACAAATGAACAAGTCGAGATAGCATAGACGAAATATTTGCAAATTGGTTCACAGTTACCTACCTGGTTGAATGTAAGAGCTTACGCTAGTAAATGGCTGACCGACTTATACCTCGACCATAACTACATACCTACCTAGTCTCGACTAGGGTAATGAGCAATGAAGGAATCAGCGAGGGACATTCTTTATACATGGTAGTATCACATACGTCTCCACAGTTGTTGTCTTTATATATATATAACATAAACAGCTTCCAATAGATGTGAAAGCTCGGTGAACCGTCGCTTGTAACGAGGAACGGGGTAAGAACGGCAAGAGTAGAAATGTTCTAGAAGCCCGCTATACACAAAAATACGATGACACTTATCTAAATCGGTCTAAGTCACCTACTAATAGAAGTAAGCTACGACAGGGCCAATTTCATGTTAGAGTGGAACATATTGGAAATTCAAGAAAATACTTACAACGGATAACCCCCCGATCCGGTGTACCGTTGCGCCACGGGGCCAAGCTTATATAATGCCTCCATTAAATCAAGTGAACGTATGTATAGTTCAGTATTGCTAGACATCCGACGAAAAGTGTGCAGCCAATGTTATTCAAGTCGACACAAGCTCGAGGAAGGGGTAATGAGTTATCAACGTAAAGGAAAGGCTAGTCGTAACACACCGATGAAATGTCCAGAGAGGATAAGACAATATCAATTCTGTTGGCCTGGGAATTATTGTTAATAATGCATAGTTGAACTTCCTCGGTTTGTCGAGAAATCGATTCCGCATATATAAGTAATCTACAACATTGTGAGACGTTTTATTATACGGGATGAAACCCGCCGTCCGTCGAGGCCTTGAATTATGATATGATACGTTATATGCGGGTGATATCGCAAGTTATCTGGCTAGGTAACCAAGACCTTCAATTGTTGTGGCAAGGTCAGACGGAGGTCGCCCCGTGGGAGATGGTGAGAGACTTCACGGTGGCCCGTTGTTGTCTGGCCGTGGAGTAGAGTCGATATACTGCAAATGGCATTTCCCGCAAGTATGTCTCATTTCACTAGGGGGTAGGTAGTGGTTGAGAGGTCCTTGAATAAAAACGGTGTTGTTTCTTTGCTCGCTAGCTCTGCCTCTTCGCGATCGCAAAGTCAACGGCGCGAGTAGGTAGGCTTCATTATCAGAAATATATAAGATATGTACATACATGCATACATTCATTCATACGGGGAACATGTTGCATGTGCATGCATGACCTCAGGGGAGCAATAAAATAAAGCACGTGATCGAAGTAAAAGACTACGGAATTCGCGGTCTTTTCATATGACGTAACAAAAGTGATGATTGAATATTATTACCAAAATATAAAAATACATGGCGGCTCTGGGAATCGAACCCAGGTTTACACGGTACGTTTGAAGTAATCGAATTTTCGCAACCACAACGTGTTGTACTAGCCACTATACGAAGCCACCCGTCATTTCCTCCCTGCTAATGGAAGATGAAATTTTGCGGATTTATTATTGGTTAAGTAGCACGTGGCGCTAGGCTAAGCACACTTTGGGACCGCTTACAGCGAATTAGGTACATATGTGCACCGATAGAACTTTTACCGTAAACTATCCGGAATTGCTCCAAGTTGCGTTAGAATTCTTAATTTAGTTAATAACCATTTAAGAATCAAAGCTAAGTATTGAATTATACATACCTACTTAAGCATTAGTCCAGTAGAAACACTGGAGGTGAGAGTCGCATGATCATAAGGCGTCGAAGCGAAATAAGAGCATTGTGCTGATTATACCGTATATGATGGCGAAGTTACATTCAAACGTACATTCAATGCTTATATTGCAAGCTTCAGAAAAGGCGTTGTGATTTCAAAGCTTGTAAGGACATGAGAATACCAAGCACTTTTACGCTACGGATCAACTCCTTGTCCATCTTGTTCATAATATGAAAAGTATGAAAGCGGACTGATTATTCGCCAACACTATATACGAGTTGTATAAGCCATAAGCTGCTGTGGAGTAATAAACTAAGTCGTATGAAAATTAAACAGTTGATGTGTATAAGTTGTAATACTCAAGCATTAGGAAGTGCTTATAAGAATCGAGGGTACTTATTAAGTAGCTACATGTTTAATAATGATAACTAAACATGATCATTAAAGGAAGTAAGGTGATCCATGAAAAATACATTAGCGACATTTAGCTATTTAACCTTCCCTCGGCGCAGCTTGTCATAAGGCGATGGGACCTCCCGAGAACCTAGCTTCTACTCTTGGGACGTAATGAGCATCCCATGCCATACATTGGTATACCTCTTTATATAGTACCGAAGATCCATAAGTTTGTGTACATTTCGTAGACATGATGATAGGTACGCAGTTTTCATTAAACGACAAATAGCATAGGTATGTTAAATTGTTACCAGTCTCATATAATGGATCTCAGACTAGATAAGTATGTAGATGTTTAATTGAAGTGAACAGTATATTTCATCGAAGCTATAGATTTAAAGGGGTATTTAAGTGTGCTGCGAGGCGGAACTAACTAGCCGGGAAATAACAACGTTATTACTTAAAAAGCTTTCGATTATGCTCGCATAAAGAACGTCATTAATATATATAAGAAAAGCTTTCGATTATTCTATCTTATAGCTAGCCACTGCTAAGTCTCACAAGGGCCTTTGCGGTCTTCCATGGACCTCACTCCAATATTGTTCAACCATTGGACTATTAACTCTTTAATAAATAAAACCCCTGACACAACGACTCGAGGGAGTGCGAAGAGAAATGATGTTATACATGAATACTATCATGCGTTTTCTAGTCGTACCTGCTTAAACAATTTAGCCGTAATAGTATTTCAGGTACTGTGTTATAAATCTACTTCAGTTACTTATTTCATCTTACAAAAAAAGAGTCCGTTTTGAGTACCAGGCACAAGATCCTCTTAAAACTTGTCCAAACAAAATGCGTCAGCGGGCAAGAGTCTCATTAGGTACGCGAATACGAGTTAATGATTGCTCAGATAAATAATCGACAACATCAGCAAACATCATTCTCCAACTCAATGTATATACACACTCAACGCTTAGCAATTCGTCTCTAAATAACGAAATTAGAAAATAGCTTTTCCGTCTTTATCCCAATACATCTGCACCCGGTCATTTCACATTAGGATATATACTAGGTAGCTATTCAGTATCCTCCTAGGTTGGGAACATGTTATAACTACCTAGTAAATTCCCCATTCCGAACCGAGAATGACTTTTATAAAGGGGCTCATAGCATATTCTCGCAATACTCACGGCCAGTGGTAACAGGTAGGTAATGAGAAAGAGGGTAAAACTTTCTCCGACGCAATTTGCTACAAAAAGCTGTCATAAGATAGAGTATATAGCCGAGCCACCTGAAGTGGATGTAGTGTGCTGGCATCTCAAAACAGAGAAAAAGGTGCTAGAAAGCATCATAGCATACCTTGGTAGGCCGACCCCTTACCTAGTCTCATGATGCCCATGTCTCACAAGTTTGCAGTGTACGTATATTCGCTCGGCGGTGGTCTTCAACAGGGAAATCGATACCATAGTAGGTATTATGAAGATATTCTTGAGACATCCCTCGTCAATATACAGACGACCTTTTTTATTACCCCTGCATTTCCTACCCAAGTCCTGGCCTTAGGGTTTTCTGATCAGTCCCTTAATCATTCCCGTGAATGCCTCATCGGATATGAGAGGGCGAGGATAACTAAATTGTAGGATTATTATGGTGAATTAATCGGATAACCTATTTACTGATAATAACCTCGACTATATACATGATCTCTCCAGACATGTCTCCCAAGCCATGCTACATGGTTAAGCTACCTACAAAATTCCATCAAAGATACCGTAACTTTCACTCGTCACGTCGCCAAGGTTAGCACACTCTAAGAGGACTCGCCGTTGTTGGCTAACGAGTTCGCGGTACCGCTAGGGACGCCGGAGATAGCACCGGAAAGAGCAGCCTTTGCGATATAGTCGCATAAATCAGCCACAGGAGAAGCATCGAGTCCCAGGTAGTAGGCTCCGAGACCAGCAATGTGGGGAGAGGCCATGGATGTGCCAGAGATGGTGTTCGTGGTTCCGCCGATCCATGTGGACTCAATATCTGTACCTGGTGCAAGGATGTCGACAAGGCTGCCATAGTTGGAGTATTCGGCAAATTCGTCATCCTTGGTAGTAGCGCCGACGGTGCAAGCCGATTGCTCCGAAGCCGGGGATGAGGTAGACGCGTCCGTGGCGTCGTTACCCGCAGCGACAGCAAGGAAAAGACCAGCATTGACAATGCTGGCAGCTGCCTCGTTCACGGCGCTCGAAGTCGAGCCGCCGAGAGACATGTTCACGACAACGCCCTTGGGGCAAGTCTGACCGGCGGCATCCTTTGCGACGAAATCCATGCCAGCAATAACACCGGAGCTACGACTCAAGTTAATCAATCGCACTTTTTCACATGCACAGTGCTGCGGCCAAGTTTTATAGGGGAGAAAACATACTTGGTACCTGAACCGCTGGCGTCCAGGACTTTGACGGCGAAAAGCGAGGTTTTCTTTGAAACTCCGTACGTCTTGGAACCGATAGTACCAGCCACATGCGTACCGTGGCCGTTGCCATCAGTGTCATCGCCATCGCCAGCATAATTAGCAAGCCACGTAGCACGGCCCTCGAATTCCTGCGTAGGGTTAGTCCAGCGTGCCCGATGACGAAGAGTCGCACTCGTTACGCACCTCGTGGTCTACTTCGATGCCTGTGTCGATGACATAAGCACAGGTTCCTTCACCGGCACTGTCGTCGTAGGTGTAGGTGGTGCTGCCAGGCTCGGAATTAGACAAACGAGCGAGACCCCAGTCGGCATCCTCCTGAGTAGCTTTGATAGTGACAACGGCATCCTGCTCAATATAATCGATCTGGAGAAAACAAGTCAGGACATGAGCAAATATGAGAAACAATCTCCGGTTTCACAGCTTACATCGTCGTTGTTCTGAAGGGCCTCGAGCTCTTCGGCTGACAGGCTAGAAGCAAAGCCCTTGAAATCATTACTGTTGTATACAAAGTCGGCATTGCTAGAGATGGCTTGAATGGAGCTATGTAGGGAGTCGGTGTCGACATTAGTCTTCATCTTGACGATGTATTTCCCATCGATGAGCTGAGCACCCCGGGGCTTGATGACTAGGGCCGGAGTGGCCCTCTTTGAAGGCTCAGCGAGTGCCAGAGGCAGCAAGGCGAGAGCGGCAGTTGTACGCATTTTGGAGGGTGGGTGACGGCGACGGGTCTAGATTTGGTCTTGGCTGTTCTCTGAAGGTGAGTTCTTCTCGATGTCGAAGATCTCTAGAAGTAGGATGAAGTAGGAGAAGAAAAGTCCTTGGTAATTGGGTCGGTCTTTTATAATACTCATGGCGGCTCCTTGGCGAGAGAAGCAGCATCTGGACGTTGAATGCGAAGCCACGATACAATCCATGATAGCTGATCTTTACCAGGGAGAGTATCTGGTTGTTAGACACGCTTGCCAGCGACCAGTAGCATGTGAACTACTCATGTGAGGTTGGAAGAGAATCATGGATAGGGTAGGGGACCCAAGTAGGCGATAGAGATCCTTGTTCTAGCCGACCAATCCGACTACACTTCGAGTGCCGATCATAGCTGCACCTCCTAGAAACAGCTTGGTTAAGCTCATATCTCCTATTCGTCGGCGGGGAGAGCCCATTCTGATCTCTTCAATGAGAGTATATGTTATTTAAAGGTTGGTAGTATCACAGTCCTGAGTAGGGGTGATTTAGTCCCAGGGGTTCGGATTCACTCAGGTGCAACGAAATTAAGTACGGGGCATTTGTATTGTTAAGGTGACCAATGGACCAATGACAGCGGGATAGTAGAGGTGACCAAGCTTCGTCCAAGACAGCCACGTACGGCAGACTAGTGCCAAGCAACAGTGAGCCTCGAGTTAGATCAGCAGGATGAGCTTGTTCGAGCCTGGACGTTGTCAATGATAACATCTGCCTTCCTTATCTAGAGCCCCGTGCTTTCTTACTGACTCTGCTACGGCATGCCGACAAGGGCCATCAGCACCTCTGACCAACCAAACGCTGTTGGCAGGGGTTCAGGGGTCGTTCGATGCTTCCGAGATGCATGACATACTTATTATATGATGTACCAACCCTATGTTGACCACATCCACGACCGCCATCGTTATAAGGCTAAGGATTATAACGCTGCCAGACAAGATTGCAATGTACTAAAATAGGTTCCCATTTCCCCACATGACGTGAGGAGAAGTCGGAATGTGACTGTTTCATCACGTCCCATGAGGAAATACTTAAGACGGCCCTACAATTATGGCTATTGCCTATGTCGGTGCTTCTGGCGGCGTATTGCCAGGTCCCTGTAACGATGCAGCATCGGAGCTTCGTGTCGAAGTCGGGTTTGACATGTCAAAGACCCTTCTGTTTATCGTTGTCCCCCACATCTCACATTTCCAAACCCCTGACCAACTATCACGATTCTTACCCCCCTTGCTCATCGATCCATGCTCAACCCCGGTTTAGTGAACGCCAAGTGCCGGCGGTGGTCAGCACGTACATATCTGCATTATGCACGTGAGCAGATGTGGGAGGAAACGTTGTGTGATGATGGGTATGGTAGGTAGTCAAACTATCGAATTCGGACTTCTTTAACAACGTTTTTCTTCGCCGCGGCCGGATTGCAAATCTCTTCCGGATACGGTAAATATATATCCAGCAGAGCGGACTTGGCTTATTACTACAGGACAATCCTCCCGAGGTACGGCGTTATTCCGGAGTTGACCGTTGCGACGGATTGCATTGTTATTTATCTCTTTCCCTCCTTTTCCGCTTCGAAATAATTAGTTTAGGATAAGTTTGATACTCGGCGCAATCTTTGAAAATGATTGGCGCAATAAACTTGGGTTACGAATTTGTTAAGTACGACTCATAAAACCGCCAAAGTAAGCACATTCATTCATAGCTCGAAGGTCGTTCCATGAAACGTCGCAATAAACTTGCGTTGGTACAATATATCTTCCTTAATGTTTATTATAATTGATAAATAATTGGTAAGGGATTGTCAAGTGTATCAATTGGCTCATTAATCGCGCTAGAAAGCTAGCGTCTTACCAGACACCTTAAATTCGTCCGCGCATTGGATTGGGTGCATCCCTCTTGTAAACTTAGTCATCGGGTCCAGGGACCAAGGGACTGGCTTACTGACTGTTCAACCTATTATTGACTTGACTTTGAACTGACTTAAGGATTGTTGAACTACTTGTTAAACTGACTGTTGACCTGACTGTTCAACTGACCTGCGGACTGATTTAGGGACATATTTAGGAACAGGTTTTAGACCTGACTTAAGGACTGGCTTATAGACTGTCCAACAGACTGTTGAACTTACTTAGAGACTGCTGGACCGACTGTTCAACTGACCTAAGGACTGACTTAAAGACTGATTTAGGGACTGCATTACTGATTGATCAATTGACCTAGGGACTAATTAAGGGACTGTTCAACAAACTTTTGAATTGACTTTTGACTTGACTTAAGGATTGGTTGATTGATTGTTCAACTAACGTTTGAACTGACTTAGGGACTAATTAAACTGATTTTGAACTGACTCTTGAACTGATCAAGGGACTGTTGAACTGACTGTCCAACTGACCTTTGACCTGATTTAGGGACAGGTTCGAAGAACCTGTTCAAGGCAAGGGATTTGAAGTCCTTCGGACGGATACTGCCTTTTTTTTCCAACCCCCCTTAAGCCCTGCCTCTCAAGTATACTGCCTTTTGCGAAGAAAAATTTCGAAGGGCCATTTTTCCCGGACATTGCGGAGGGCCGTACTTTAAAAATAAAAAAAAAGGCTAGAAAAATTTTATATATTAATAAGAATGGATAAAAAATTTTTTAAAACAAATTTAAAAATCCGTTTTATTAATTATATTAATATAAAAATACATTTTATTAATTATTATTAAAATTTTAATGTAAACTTTTAAAGTATAAGAAAATAATATAAAATTAATAAATTTTTTTAACTTTTTCGGAATTAAAAAATTTTAAAATAAAAACTTAAAGTTTTTTATTTTATTTATTTATGGCACGGGCCACGTGCATAATTATTTCTTTATATTATGCTTTTAAAAGCTCGCATTAAATTTTTTAAATTAAAATATCCGTTAAATAAAAATAATTAAAATTTTTATTATTTTTTATTTTATAATTATAAAAATATTAAATATTTTAATAATATTAAATATTTTAATAATATTAAATATTTTAATAATATTAAATATTTTAATAATTATAAAATTTAAAAGTTTACGAGTTAAAAAATTTCTTTTTAATAAAAGGTTTATTTTTTTTTAAAATATATAATAAAATTATTATATAATAAGCGATAAAAGTAACGATTATATAAAAAGCACGTGTATTATATACGAAAAATTAAATAAAATATTAAAATTAACGTTTAAAAATAATTTCTTTTTTTAAATTTTTAAGTTTTAATTTTAAATAATTATAAACTTATTATTTATTATTTAATTTTATTTACTTTACTTTTATAATAATATTAAATTTTTTAATAATATTAAATTTTTTAATAATAATGGATTTTTTAATAATAATAAGTTTTTTAATAATAATAAATTATTTAATAATAATAATAATAATATATTAATTAATAAGTTTTTTTAATAATATAATAAATAATAATTAATTATTTTAAGTTTAAATTAATTATAAGTTTTCGAAAAAAAAATTATTTATTATATTAATATAATTTAAATATATAACTTTATAATTAAATTAAAATATAAATATATTTTATTAATTTTTTTAATTTTTAATAAAAAAAATTATGTTTTTATAATTATATTAATAAGTTTTTTAAATTTAATTAACGCTTTAATTAAACTTTTATTAAAAACATGATTTAAATACGATATTTTTTTAAAAAAAACGGAAAATTTAATGTAATCTTTAATAATGCGGCGTTTAAAAATATAAAAATAATTTTAATATTATTTTGAAAAAACATTTTAAATATTAATGGCTTTAAATTTAATAATGTTAAATTTTTTACATTATATAATGTTATATTTATTAATTATAATAATATTTAAATTTTATTTAATATTGTAATTATTAATCATAATATTAAAATTTTTAATTTTTTTAATAATAACGGGTAATATTAATTATATTAATTAATAAATTTTATTATGTTTTTTATTAAAAAATTTTTTTTATATTATTTATTATATATATTTATATTTTTTTTTTTAATATATTAAATATTTTAAATATTTTTGTTTTTTTTAATTATTAATTTAATAATTTATAAATTTTTTAATTTTATATAATATTTATTTATTTATATCTTTTTATATTATAACGTGTTTAAGTGTTGGTAATTTTTTATTATAAAAATCTGAATTTTATAATATTTTATATAATTATAATATATTTATAATTTTATATATATGTTATAATGGAAATATATTAATTTTATATATTAAATTTTTAATTTTTTTTATTATAAGTAATGGTTTTATTTTTTATGTTTTGTATTTTTTAAATTAATTTTTTAATAACTTATAACAGTAATATAAACGTAAGTATATAATTTTATTAATTTTAAATTTTATAACTTTATAAATTTTATTATATTATATTTTAATGTTTATTACTATGAAATTTAAAACTTTTTTTACTTTTTTTTAAAATTATTTTTATATTATTTTAAAATTAAAAATATTTATTAATATATTTAATATAAATATAATTAACTTTAACTTAAAATTTAATATAATTTTATTAAAGTTTTTTTTTAATATTAAAAAATATATATTATTAATATTATATTAAAATATTAAAATAATATTAATTTATAATATTTTAAAAATTGTTTAATAATAATGGATTATTAATTTTATTTTTTAATTTTATTTCTTAAATTACTTATTTATTTAAAAATAATAAAATGTGTTTATTACGAATTTAATATTTATTTATATAAAAATATATTATTAAATTTTAAATATAAATTTTAAGTTTTTATTTAATATTATTTTTATTAATATTCTTTAATTATAAAATAACATTATATGAAATAATTATTTAATTTATTATTAAGTTATATAATTAATGTTACTTAAAATAAAAATAAATTTTTTATTAAATTTATAAATTATTATAAAAAATATATTAAAATATTTATAACTTTTTATTATTTATAAACTTATTTTCGTTTATATTTTTAATAATTTAACGATAAAATCCTATATAATAATATAATATAAAATCGTTAAGGAATTTATAAATAATAATTTTTTTTAAAATTTAATTAATTAATTTAATTTTCCGTATATTTTAAATATTAATTAATATATTTTTTAACTTTATATATTATATTTTATATTTATATGTTTATTAATTTATAAAATATTTTCGTTAGTTTAAAATAATGTTTTTTATTATAAATTA